TTGGTGATTTGAAAGAAAAAAGAAACGTTTGCAGGTCCCAAGACATTTGGAACTGGAGCTCCTCATTTACATGAATGTATAAATATAGAGTAGAGGTCTGCAGCTGCATCCTGTAAGAACAGAGAGGGAGATGTAGATAGAGGGTTCACTGACAAGAACTGAAAATCTGTTTCATTGGTTCTCATGATTACATTTTGTTTTTTTCCATAATCGAAATAGGAGCTCATTAAATCAAAATAGTTATTTGTGTTTAAAGTATGGAACATAAGGAAATTGTGTAATTTATCATTGCAGTGATATTCTATTTTAATGTTTAGCAATCATATAAATTAATAATTAAAATACATGTACAACACAGATCAATCATTTTCTTAAAAAAAATATCTACACTAACTGAAATGCTTAATAGCTAAAATCCTATTTATTTCTTCACCGTAATGAAGATTATAAGCTATCATGTAATTGATAAAAAAAAAAAATATTTAATATCTGAAGTTATTCAAAATCGCTTGATATTTATTCTGTTATTCTATTTACAGTTTAAATTTGAGTTTTGATTGTGAATATTTACATGAAGAAGTCAATTTTTGCAGGATTTGCTCATCCATGACCATTGTGTGGTGACAGTCGATTTTTATTTGCATTGTGTCATTGACTTTGCAGCAATCCCTCACATGCAGCATGCATGCAGTGTGTGTGGAGAGGAAAAACTCACTTTGAATAGGCAAAAACCTCCAGCAGAACCAGGCTCATTACCAGAACATCTACCACAACAATCAGCCTTCAAAAACACACAGAATCTGTGCCAATCTTATCACTTTACTCCTGGTAAAATATATATAGATATTTGTTGAACGGTGTCAGCATTTACCCTATGAGTTAAAAAATATGACCTATAAGGGACATTTATGTGTTTGTTATTGTAATTGCTTAATCTGCCATTGACCTGAAACTTGATACTCAGATGGGTCCTGTTGTCAATAATGAAACCATTAATATACTGATTATAAACGTCCATGGATTTTAGGCGCACTACGTCGGTAATTGATTGAGTAACAAAGATATTAGTAAGATACCGAAGGCATCTGATCACTATCTAATCACCCTCTTTTTGTGGAGATATTATGTGGTATTGCACTCCAACCGAAGATTCCTCTGCATTTCCAACATCTTTTACAGATCCCAGCTTAAAAATGGGAGAAACCTAGGGTTAGTCCAAGTAACCCTGCTTAGCTTCATCTGTAATGGTTTTGTAATATTTAGAAGTTTTTTTGAAAATAAGGAGGTATTGGAAGACAGGAACCAGAGATGAATTAGACTGAATCAGACAGGGCAGAGGCAGACCTGAATAACAACCTGTATGTGATATGTTTCTACATCTTAATTCAGGTAAAACATTATTCACAGACTCTTAGTGACATGATGCATGTCAGAGATCAGTGGGCTCATCACAACCTCATAAAATTTTTCCTTTGTTATTTTTAACAAATGTCACACACAAAGAAAAAATCCTATCTATTAAAATATATAAGATTTACATCATTCAAAAACGATTCACATCAAAAACATAGAGAACAGAGATAAAACAAAGGAAAATTACTTAAAATGAAAATCAAATAAAACAAACTATT